ACAGGGTAACCAATCTTTCCATATTTTGAAAATTGATGTTCTCTTCTAGTAACTATACTGTACAATCTGCTTAGATCCTTGTTAAACTCATTTTATTAATATTTAATGTCTGTTTTCCCTTCCAACCTGCCTATTCCACAGTGTATTCTAGTAGTGATTTTCCCCTTCTTCAGCTGATGGCCAAGCCAACCCCAAAGATCTCCATCTCTACCAGTTGTGTTTTGCCATCAGTTCAAGCCTGAGATGGCCTCTATGCACTAGTGAAATAGATTTTGGCTTTCCTTTTTCTGTGGTGAAACCATTTCTCTGTCCTTTGTTTTTAACTTGCCCCATTCTCTTTCCTTTTTCAGATTTCTCTGCTTAAAAAATAAGACCAGCGCATCAGTTGTTTTTACAACATACACACAGAAACATCCTTCGATAGAGAAGGGTCCACCCTTTGTGCAACCACTGCTAAACTTCATCTGGTTTCTGTTGTTGGCAGTTGATGGGTACAGTCTGATTTCTGTCATGTCATTCTTGGTTTCCTTTTCAGTTGTTAACTGAGATGACATTTTTGGTTGTTTCCTTTCTAGAGGAAAACTAACAGTATTTACAGTATTGTGTGAACAGTATCAACCTTCGCTGAAAAGAGACCCCATGTATAATGAGGTGAGTTACTCATAAACAGGATTTAACTCCCTGAATTAGGGAAATGGTGGCTGGTTGTCTCCAGCTTTGTAGATAAGAGCTGGTGATCTACCTTGTGTGGGTGACTTCTGCCCATAGTATTTCCACCTGTAAATGAAAGAATTGACTTTTTTTTTCACCTTGTGTCCCTACAGTACCTAGATAGAATAGGACAGCTTTTCTTCGGAGTTCCGCCCAAGCAGACCTCGTCCTACGGGGGATTGCTAGGTAAGCTCTGCTTTGTAGGTACCTCCAGGCTTTGATCAGTGACCTGGATAAAACACCTGTGCTGGAAACAGATAATCTGTTCTAAGGAATTTATAATTCTTTTCATAGCCTGTGGGAGCAGCCCCTGCTGTGGAATACAAAATGAATGGGTTGCATGTGAAAGTTGTTTGGGGGAGCTTGTAGACTTCTCATCACTGAGGAGAAGCACTAAAAAGGCTCTTATGGTTAATTTCTGACATTATGGTATAGCTTCCTAATGTAAAGAAGCATCTTACTGGTGTTAAAGCTTAATTTCCTGGTGTCAAACCTTAATTTCCTCTGAATTCAGTGACTGATTTTCCTAAAACCAAGTATGGGGCTTTGGTAGAGATCTAATCAGTGCTGATACAACATGAGTGTGCCCAAAGAGGAAGTTCTGAAATTAATACTGCCCTTCTACAAGGACCGAAATGGAATAGAGAAATTCAGCCTTCATTTCCTGGCTCTTGAATAAAATGTGAATAAAATTAATGTTTTCCCTGACAACTAAGCTTCTTTGTTAAGTGACTTGAAGCTTTACCTAGAAACATCAGTTCACTGGTAGCCAAAGTTTGATGAAAAACATGAACATCATGTTTTTATCATATGTAATTTGCTTTTCAGCAATTCAGGCACTTTTAAATCAGTGCCTCTGAGTTTCAGACAATTTTTTACAGCATGATGCAGACTGTGGCTGCTTTTTGAGAGTTTCACTGCTGGAGATGTGTTTTTCCTCTTTTGGTTGGATTTTTTTTTCCCCTCTGTATTTATGTAACACATAAATATGTGACTTTGGGCTTTTCCAGTATATTCTTAGAGAAGGAACAGTATCAGTGTACAGCTAATAGTGTACAGCTTCTCAAATCAATATTCTTAATGGAAACCAGTGTGGAATTACTGATGTCTTGGTGAGATTTTTCTACTTCAAAACTCTTGTTTTTTTTTTTTACAGAAATCTGTACTGTAACAGGATGAAAAACTAGTTAAAAGTTTTTGAGATGAGAATGTAAAACTAACGATTTTGCCTGTCCTGTATTTTATTCTAGGAAATCTTTTAAACAGTCTGATGGGAACTGGGGAAGATGATGACACAGAAGAGGGTCAGGAAGACAGCAGTCCTATCGAGCTCGACTGAATGTTGTTGTCACTGGGTGCCGTGTAAATCTGATGATTCGATGACTCCAAAGACACTTTTGGAATTTGAATCCTGCAGTTGTTTCTTGGCTCCTAAAAGGGCTCCTCTGGTCTTTTAGAAATGGTTGCTGAAATGTTTATACTGTCGGTCTATATTATTTATGTAAAAAAAAAAAGAAAGAAACCAACAAAAAGTAGCCAAACGAACCAATCGGAGCGGTTGTTAGTGGGTTTCCAATCCAGCGGCTGGGGACTGATTAAACATGGTCTGCGGTTTCTGATGCAGTATTCCCTTTTGCACAGTCTTTCAATAAAGCATAAACACGGGGCTTGTCCTTCACGGCCTACCCAATACCGTCTCTGTTCTGAGAAAGCCTCCTTGCCCTCTGCCCTCTTCCAAGGAAGATCTCAAAAGGCAGGGGGAGCAATTGAATAACTGATTTGCGAGGCTGGTGCCAAAAGTACTGCGAGACGAACCGAGCAGCATAATTTGAGATGCACGTCCAAGAGACATTGATACAAGAACTTGCTTCCACTGCCATGAGTAACATGCACACCCTTCATACTGCCTGCCCCTCTCCCCAAGGCCAGGCTCTGGCTGAGCCCACGCGTGTGTTTAGCCGATTCTTCCTGAAAAGCACAAGGTTGAATAGCTCTTGAGTAAAAGCCCATTAATGGAATGCAGGTGATTGGCTTCCAGGTGGATCTCTCTTGCCTAGGTATAAAAATTTGGCATCTAAAATACCTCCTGTGGCTTGTGGCTGTACTTTGGAAGAGGTTTTGCCAGAGTAAGTTCCCAGCCGTACGTGCAGGCGGCAGCGTTGCTGTGAGCGGAGCGGTTTGCCGTGGGCAGAGGATGTGTTTGAACTGGGCTGGATGGCAAGAAAAGGGATACTGCAGAGCTTCTGGTTCTTTATGATATATTTATTTTTCTTGGGTGATTGATTCATTTAACACTTTCTGTTAAAAAAAAAGAGTAAATCAATAAATAATGGAGTAACTTCACCCCCAGCAGTAGGCATAGCCATTCTCCATCTCCTCTGTAATGCAGCACAGTCTGGTACAGGGAACAGGTGAAAGGGTGGGGAAACGCTTTATTTTTTCATGATGAAAATAAAAAGGCTTAGATTAATAAACAGCAATCATGCATGGGGGAGGGATTAATACAAATTTATTGACTGTATGAAAAAAAAAAAGGCATTGACAGGAAGACTTTGTGTTAATTGTGAAGTCTCAAATAAACACTTTATACCAGGATGTGCGATATTGCTGCTTTCTAAGAGTTTCCCAAGCAGAACTTTACATTCCTTGCTATTTTTTTCACTCTGCATTTGTCTGTGGGTTGTCCAGCCCTCAGTGCTGCAGCTTCATCTCTGCAATAAAGGTATTTTTCTCTTGGGTTATTGGAATATCTGGAGCATTTGGGGATTGCTTTGCTGTGCAGCTGGTTGAGGGAAGAGCTCCCTCTCCAGGCTCATGCTGTAGACATTTAGTAAAAGATCTGGGATGTCAGCTGAGGTTTAGACCCACATCATTTCATTGCTTTTGGCTGCCAGGATGTGTCTTCCAGGCAGTGTAAGGTGTCCACAGGCATCTAGCACATGTCCCCTCCTGTGTCCTGTATATATGACCCAATGTGAGGTTATTTGCCTCAGCTCTGTCTGCAGCCCCCACTGTGAGCCCTGCATGTGCCCTGACCCCAAAACCCCAGCCCTGACATCAGGGCAGTGCTCCAGGGCTGGGGCACCCTCCTGTGGATCTACAAAGCGTATATTCAATAATTACAACAGTATATACAGAACATATGTGTGTGTGTATAAAATATATACCCAGGAATTTAAAATACATGTATATACACACACATATAAACAGCCTTTTGTATAGATAATAATTATATACTTGTATGACATACCATTTATAATATTATTCTTAATTATACATGCACACAAAACGATTTTTATAGCTATCTATAAACACGAAAAGGAGCCCAGTCTGTCCCCTGCCTGCTTCTGCTGTGCCTGTTGGTAAGTGTGTGTGAGTGACAATGTGTGGGTAACATACACTTGTAAATACTTTAAATACAAGCTAAATATATAATTATAGTTATGCATACACATGTGCATGCAGATATATGTATGCCTATATGCAATATATTCACCTTAAATTTATAAATACGGTTATAAATTATGTGTATATATAAAGCATGCACATGTGTATATAATATATAATCATATATTTTAGAAAACAAAGTATAAAAATGTCTCTATGCATACACAGGTGTGCAAAATACATTTAGCTTATATATTTATAAATTGAGTATGTCTGAGTGCTACATCTATACATGAATGTGCATATGAACACCTCATACATACACACATTTTATCTATTACACTGTATCCACTATGCAGTTCACAGTTGTCTGTGAATAGCCAACAACCCCCTCCATAAAGCTTATTTCTCCATCCCAAGAACCAGCTAAACCTTTGTGTATGTGTGCACACATCACGTATCGTATAGAAAATACCCAGAATATGCACTGTAACACACACATATACACCAATAGTATATAAAATAACACACACTGGGTGGGGCAGGTGGTTTAGAGGGTGTCCCAGACCCCCGGGGCTCTGCCAGCACCAGCACCTTGTTTCCATCTGCTGCTTTTTAACCCCACCTCCCTCCCCTGCCCCAGCACCACACGGCCACGGCTCTGACATAATAATAATAATTTATTGGTTCGAATGACATTTAGTACCACAGTTGTCTTACCAGTGACAGAATGAATGCACACAGCCGATGAGATGCTCTCAGATACACAACCAACCTAAGAAACATGTTGGACAGGTCCGTGGCTGGGGCTGGGCCTTCAGGGCACGCAGGAAATCTCATTTTTGGGTAAAAATCCAGCACCTGGTGTGCAGGTCCCAGCCCGCCCGCCCTGACTGCAGGAATTACAGTGCTCAACACCGCGCTGAAACTGAAACGTCACTTCAAGCAGCTTTTTTTTTAATTTTTCCTCACTTTTTTTTAAATTTTTTTTGCTTTTTTTTTTTTTTTTTTGGCAGGAAAGGAAAAATCAACGAAAAAAAATTTAATTATTGGGGGAAAAGTGCAACCACCAAGTCTGGAGAAGGGATGTGCCTGCTGAGAGTGAGCTGGGACAGGCTTTGATGGTGCCCACGAGCAAAACTGCAGATAAAGCTCAACCCCCCCCAGCTGCATACCAGGCTCCCCAAACGGGGCAAAGCCCCCCAGACCACGGAACAGGGATGACCCAGGAGCCAAACACAGGCCTGGCCCCCAAAGCTCTGCTCCTCCAGCATCACCTCACGGATTGGTGTCTCCCTTGCAGCCCCCCCTCCCTGCCCTTTGTTAACATAACCAGGCTGATGATGCCCTTTTCCTCTACTTCTAAATCCTATTTGACCCTCTCCAGGTACAGCATCACCACCAGTCCCCAGGGGATAATTTACTTATCATTTACCCCGGCAGGCTCAGCTGTTTTGCACAGCACCACGTCCTGTGTTTCCAGGCTGTTTCCCATCCCACAGGGATGTCACCTCCTGGGGACTTGCAGCCCCCCTGGAAAGGGCTGGCAGCCATCTGAGTGTGGGGATGCTCAGCTCCAGCAGCCAGGGACCTGAATATGGGGAAAAGTCCCAGCTGCCCCTGGGATGTGCCACCAACAGTCTCTGCCATCCTGGTGAAGCTGGGTGGGGCACCCCTCCCAGCAGGTGTGGGGTGATGGGGTGGCAGGACCACCTGTCCCATCCCACAGAGCAGCCACAGAGATGAAGTTCAAGTTGGACCAGGATCTTCTCTGACATTCCACTGCCGCCCTTCCGACATGATCAAGTGAATGATGAGGGGAAAGGGAAGTATTATTATTGTTATTATTATTACTGTTATTATGAATTATTTTTAACATTTCAAATAAAACCATGTTGTGTTGTAAACAGAAGCTCCCTCCTCAGGTCTGCCCAGCCAGTCCCAGCTAAGGTTTATGTTTGAAATGGGCTTCCACTGAAAAGAAAAAATAGAGAAAATTAAGTTAAAGCAGGGCAAGCACTGGCAGGTGCCGACAGCCTGACACAAAGTGGTCCTTCGCTGCTGCTCCTTGGCTTTAATTACCCCCATAACTATATGGCTGATCCTTACAGCAGCATGACATCCCACCAGAGGCAATGAAGAGTGAAGGACACCACCCTCTTCCTCCTCTCCTGCCAGGGTGAGCCCCTCTCTGGCCAAACAGCCTTTGCATCCCGCCGGGCACTGAGGAGCTGCCTTGCACAGACCAGGTGGAGCGATGTCCTGCATCCCCAATCCCTCCCCAGCCATCCCATCCTGCAGCCCTCAGCCAGGACAGGCATCCAGCCCTCCCCAGGGGACTCACCTGCGTATTCCTGAGGCAGCATGGGCCGGCTGATGACTTTCTGAAAGGTGGTGATCCACTCCAGCTGGTCATCCTCTGTCTCACAGGCAAAGAGGAATTTCCGGTCCGGGGTGACGATGGTTATCCCGTGCTGCCAGTGGTTCCCCTGCGTGGATGGTGGGAGCCCTTCCAGCACCTTGTAGCTGTTTTCCTTGCTCCCAATAAAAACCTCCCCTCTCGCAAAGGCATCCTAGGAGACAGCAGAGCAGTCAGGCAGGGCTGAGCGTGAAGGGAGCTCTGCATCCCGGGCAGCCAGGACAGCCACAGCTCCAGCAGCACCACCCACAGCCCTGCTCCTCACCCAGGGGCACCCACAATACAGCACCAGGGAGCCAAGGTGCAGATGCACAATACATCGTGGACAGGGGTTTTAAAGTGGTTTTGGTATCTATGCACAGGGTTACTGCACACTGGACACCAGACAGAGCCACCACGCAGTGACGGTGTTGTGTCCCCTTGGCTCTCCCACCGGCCTGCCCTTCACTGCAGACCATGACTGTAATTATTACTGCTATTATTCTTATTAGTAGTAGCAGTAATATTGCAGATAATTCTCAACAGGTAGCCCAGGCACCTTCATCTTACCAGGGGATCTTTGAAATACATGAGCCGTCGGTCATCCATGGTGAACCATCGCTTCTTGAATCCCTCTGTTTGCTGAAGAGTCAAAAAATGCCAGGTCAGCACAGCTTCTCTCTAACCACGCATGACCCAGGAGTCTCAAAGCACTTGGAGGAGCCTGATGGGCTGGGGGAGCTGGGAAAAGATGGCTTCTGAGCCATCACGAGCCACCACAGCCAGGGTCTGGGCCAGCTGTACCAGGAAGGGCCTTTGGGATGTAGATTTGGATTTTTTTAATGTTTGCTCAAAGGTGATGAAAGTGCATTAAAGAGAGTTATTCACAGAGTTATGGCTTTGCCTCTCTGACAAGGTTGGTTTGGCCCAGCAGCAACCCCTTCTCAGGGCCATACAGAGCAAGACTCATGTTTGGAGGGACTGAAAAATGCTTCATATCCTACCTTTGGCCCCGTTTTCTCCATGTATCCTTCCTTCAGGTAGTTTCTAGAAAGCTTTGGCACCAGCTGCAAGAACAACAGCCAAAGAGGGCAGAAAAGAGCAGTGTCAGATGGAGGGGGCTGGGAGTTTCTGGCTGAGCTGGGCAGGGCTGGGGGTCCCTGGAAGGAAAATCCACACTGAGCTGGGCCCCAGCCCTGAGCCCACCCCATGGCTCTGCCTGACAGCTCCAGCCCTGCTCCTCCCCAGCGCTCAGAAGAGGAGGAAACACCTTGGAGCAGCTGCCCAGCACAGCCAGCAGCCTCCAGGAGAATCTCCCAAACTCCTCAGGGCACAGGGCAGGCAGGGACAGATCCACCCTGCAGAACCACAACTGGACCCCTCCCAGATATCTGGCAGAAGGCAGGAAATGCAATTAGATTTCAAAAGCTACAACCAAGGAGGTAGCAGGGAGTGATCAACAAGCAGCACCACGGTGATGTTACCCCCCAAGAGCAGCACACAGCCCTGGCTGACAGCACGTCAGAGCAGCCTCTGGAATTGCATTAGCCCAGGGTAACACAATTAGCAGCTCCAGCGCCCGGAAACCACAGGCATTTATAAGCCAGGCTGCGCTGACCTGCAGAGAACTCAGGCAGGGCACTGACATCCTTCTGCCCTCACCTTTCCTGCCTTCCAGCCTCTGTTTTGGCTTTTGTTACTAGAGCAACAGCTTTTGAGCCTTGCTCAGGGCTCCTGCAGGCGTGGCAGTGCTGGAGTTCCTCCCCCAGCCCCTGGGAGTGCCTGGGCTCCAAGGCTGGGTGTTGGGAGCAGGTGCTGCTCCTGGGCTCAGCATCCCACCACAACCACTTCAGCCTGGTATTTGCAGAACGCTCCGAAGGATGGAGCACTCCCCAAACCTTCCAGCTTGTTAACAGCATGCTAAGAATGAGTGAGAGGGGAAAAAAAACAACCCAGCAAGCAATGCTGCAGGAACACTCACATCAGAGTCACTGGCTCCAGGGAATGCCACTTGTAGGTAATGGAAACGTGCTGCCCGGATGGCGTTGAACCAATCCACGATTTCCTGATCATGGGGAAGAAAAGCAGAGTGAGGAATGCAGCCTGCACACAAAATAACCTGATCCCGCTGTCTTTCATCTCTCCCGTCACTCTGGCCCCAGTGACAGAGCACAGTGTAGCAGCAATCCTAAAAACCACAGAATACAGCAAAGAGGTGAAGGATGTGGAACACTCAGCTGCTGTTCCGGGCTGCCAGACGTGTACAGAGCTCTGCAGCTTCCAGTGAGCACCGAGGGCACAGAGGGGGGGATTTAAACATCTCAGAACTGGCAAAACCAGCCCCAAAAGAGCATTTCAAATACTGAGCTGACCCTATAAACACAGTTGGGCTGGGCTCCAGGAGGACACACTGGGGCTGCTGGGGAGTACAAGAGGAGACCACAGGTGAGTGCCAGGGCAGCCTCCAGCCCCAAAGGGCAGGAGTTTACTCCAAGGGGTTCATCTTCTTGCAGCCCTTGTGCAGCCAAGGAGACAGACCAAATTCAGGGAAGTTGAAAGAATTTCAGCAGGGTCATTATCAGATTTCATCAGAGCACATCCTGCTCCTGCGTGGGACCGGCGAGACCGCTCCTTCTGCCAGCCCCCAGCAGAAACCTCAGCAGCTGAAACACAAACCCCAAAGCCAGCACAGCTCTGACTTCATTCCTCAGCCTGGTCAAACAAACCACCAAAGCCCAGCAAACCACAGACACTGACACAGCAGTGGGATGCCACTTTCCCATGAAAGAGGTGCTGCTTACTGCTCTGGGTTAAGTTGCAGCAGGGAGGTGCCTGAGAGCAGCTCGAGTCACACTGTGCTGTGCTCAGGAAGCACCTGCTGACAGCACTCGGCATGGAGGGGAAGTTTGGGGGCAGCTCTGCTGGAGTAGCTCCCTGGAAATCACAAACGACCACCCATGGGCCCTCTGCTTCACACCTCCCTTCAGAGACACCTGAGCAAGGGGATTTATTGCAATACAAACATGAATATCTGCATTTTGTGAAGTATGAGATAGGCAGATAGCAGTTCCCCTGCTTCTCCTATATTCCAGTTTGCTTCCCCTTTTGCAAGTGTTTGGACTGAGCCCCCTCATCTGCCAATGCTCCATCCACTCTGTCTCCTTCTCTGGCTACAGAGGAGCCTGCCTTGAAAAATCCTCTGCTCCAAGATGCAAGAAATTCCCAATTCCTTCCATTTCCATCTGTTTATTAGAACACAGTTTGCCACCCCTTGTGCTTGGAAGAACACGACAAACCCTCTCAAAGCTGGCTGTGCATCTTCCACCCTCCAAGTGATCCCAGCTTGGTTAGAGCCTGGTGTGCCACAGGCTGGCTCTGAGCAGCACCAGCCCCCAGGACCACCACCCAAACCTTCCACAGCCTCACCTTGCCATCTTCATGATAGACAAAGATGTTCCTTGTGCTATTGTCCTTCAAGTAAGTGATCTGCAGTCCGTGGGGGTTCCCGATTTTTGCAGGCTGGAAAGTCGCATTTAGGTGTTCGATCTTCATAATTGCTTTGGGTTCTTTTGCCTGGAAAACACAGCTGAGTGAGCAAAGCCCTGAGAAGTGGCTTTCAAACCAGAAAGCAGCTCACTTGGTCAGAAAAAAGGTCTGTTTTGTTTGAGGCCATTAGCTAAAAACACATGGATCCCAGCCCACAAAACTACCTGGTGATGAGACATCTGAGACCCTGCTCGGGTGTCAATGAGTGCTTCCTGCCAGCCTGGAAAAATGCTCTGTTCTTCTGCAAAATTCAGCAGGGATACAAAAAAAGGCAGACTAAAGTCTCTCCATGTGGTGGAGGAGCAAGAGCAAACCCCACTAAGAGAGGGTGAGCTGAGCCTGGTGCTCTTCTCCAGGAGCAACTGGGGATTCAGTGCTTATGGAAATTGTATAAATAAAGTGATGTCCTGGGAATTATGTGTTCCAGGATGCTCTCACAGCTGTGATCCCACCTGCACACAGCAAGCCCAGGTACTCACATCGTTTTTGTTGAAGTACTTCAGAGCACCTTCCCTCTCTGACAACACAAATTTTCGGCTTAAGAATTGCCCATTGTCACGTCCTCTCTTCCACAGAAATCCTTCTCGGTACCCTGCAGCAGAAAGGAGTGACTGAGAACCAGGGATAAAGTGCTGTATTTAAAAGAGAGTTGAGATAAAGAAAAGAACTACAGCTTCAGAACTAAGCAAACCAAGTGTGGCTGTTCTGCTGAGCACATGAATGAAATGGGCCTTCTCCTTCAGATCTGCCCTTCTCACTCTGCTCTGGTTCTTTTCCAACAGCTTGTGCTTCAGACATCTCCACTCTGACACCCAGGGAGTGACTGCCTGCAGGGACCCCTTGAGCAGTGCTGCAGCTCAGCCCTGGGTGAGCCAGCACAGGCAGACGGTGTCCCTCTGTCCCTGTGAGACCCAGCAGCCCCCACTGCCTGCACCCCACAAACCCAGCCTGCTGCTGCCCCGAGATGCAGACAGGATTTATCATCCCACAGCCAGCACTGGGGGATAACATCACTGTCCATCTATTCCTTCCAGCTCTGAGCCCTCTCCATCCCTCCTGTGCAGGAGTGCTCCAGCCCACCAGAGCCTCATTGCTCATGTGCACCAGTCCAGTATCCCAGGGGACCAACACTGGATACATCAGGGCCTAGTTGAAAAAAAAAAGTTAATTTTTTTTCTCTAGTCCACCCATCCAGCTTGGAAGAATCTTCTCCAAAATCAGGATCAGACCCAGCTCATTCAGTCCATCAATTCAACCCTACCCCACTATGGGCTGGCTAGGAACTTTCCTAGCAAAAACCCCTTTAGAGGGCACTGGCGGTGTCAGAAAGAGAAGAACCCACAGTAAGCAGGATTACCCCAAGTCTGAGCAAGGGGAAGCAGCCAAGGAAGCAACCAAAGCCCAGCCAAGGGCAGCTGCATCCATCAGCAGAGCAGGAACAGCCCAGGCTGCTGTGCAGGGCAGAACTGCTGGGGAACCACAGCTCTGCCTGATGCAGAGACAGGCACTGCTCCCTGCTCCATCAGCAAACCCCTCTGTACCCTGTGGCAGGCTGCACACCATGGAGCTCACAGGAATTAGGTGTCTGTGGCAGGGGACAGGCAGGCAGGGCCGACTGCTCCCCTGAATGGCAACACGTGAGCTCCTCCTCAGAGTGTGAGGTTTGGGAAACAAGGACAAGTGGCTTCTGCTCCTGAAAGGTGCTGGGTTTTAATGCCAAGCCAGTTGGAGCAGCAGGAGAGTACTTCAGAAGCTGTTGCTATTGATTCCACTGAACAGCAGAGAGGCTTTCAGAGCCTCTCTGTGCCTGGCATTTGGGGAACATTGATGTCTTGTAGGGAGCTGGAGAGAGCTGGCCTGGGGAAAAGGACATCAAACAACAGGAGAATGGTATCTCCAAACATAAATGTAGGGTGATGCAGGAGGAAAGCCCATCTTTTCCTTCAGAAATCCCCACATGGGCTTCGTGTGGTTCAGCAAAGCACACAGAACACACAGAGCTCAGCTCGTGGTGGCCCCACCTTGGGGCAGCTCCTGCCTGGGGATCTCATCCATTCACTCATCCATTCCAAACACAGGATTAGTGAAGGATGCTGCAGGCATTCCTGATTACACTTGCTCCCCTCCACAACACTGATTTTTTAGCATTTAAGGGATGGAGAATAACATCACTCTGTCTCCCCAGAGACGATCTCAAGTCATTGCTAACCCTGGCAGATGTGCCCCATCATCTGTGTATGAAAAGAGGGAAGCCCAGAGAGGTTTGCTGAGCTGTCCAGGACAAGGCTGTGACCCAGGGTCAAAGTCAGCCAGTTTTCCCTGCCCTCTTACATTGGACATTTAATTTTGATGTTCTCTTTCCAACTTCTTGTGTCAAAACACAGGGTTCAAATTCTGCTTCAAAGAAGAATTACAAAAACCCAACACAACCAAGTGTTATCCCATTCTGTGGCTCACATGTTGGCTCTTCCCAGGCCAATCACTTCAGTAAAAGAGCTCCTGGCTGCTCAGACAAAGCCAGCTGCTGATTTCAGTGTACTTTACAGTGTACAGGTTTTAGCTTGCTTCTTTTCTTTTTCTTTTTTCTTCCCTTCAGGGCTGCATCTTCAGGAGCTGCTCCTCTGCTCTGCTCAAACCTGAACCCCTGTCAACACCCATGAGTGCAAACCACAGTGAATGGCACTTGAACCCAACCTGAACCCACACAGGCTCCCCAGGCAAACTGTGTGTCAGCAAGACGTGTCCTCAAAGCCCTGACCTGAAGGGTTGTGAGAGCAGCCAGAGAAGGTGCTGAGAAACAAAACTGCAGGAGGCTGAACAGGGAACAGATCTCACACTGGAGGGCATTGGAAGCAAAATAAACCCTCTCTTCCTTGTCTCATGTGCTGCACTATCTTAGCAACAGCACCTGGTCACATTCTGATCTTCAGGGGTGCTGAGGCCTTGGCACAAGATTCCCAGAGCAGCTCTGGCTGCTTCCCTGGAAGGGTCTAAGGCCAGGTGGGACGGGGCTTGGAGCACCCTGGGATAGTGGAAGGTGTCCCTGCCCATGGCAGGGTGAAATGAGATGACCTTTAATGTCCTTTCCAACCCAAACCATCCTGTCATTCTGTGAGGGCTGCTCTGCTCAGGTGGAAGCTGAATGACCACAAGCCCTACAACACCTGCTGACCACTGGTGTTGGACACACAGCATCGTGTCACCAAGTTTGCTTCCTCTCCCAAGCACAGGACAAGGGATGCAACCACCTGCCATCATCCCAGTGATCACCAGCACCTAACCACAAGTGTAGAAAGCACTACTTGGGGAAAAGCTGCTGAAGAAATACCACTAACATTGCTAGCACTGCTGCTGTCACGTTTCCTGCATCACTTCTGCCACCTGCCAAGGAGCAAGCTTAATTGCTTTTGCAGGCTGCTCTGCACAAACCTGTGACACCTGCAAAAGCCCCTCCAAGCAGTTGTGTCAGTCAGCCAGCAAATGGCACATGATACAACCACACCACCCAGGTATTTCTGAGCTGTTATGTGGCTTCCAAGGTAAAATGGGGAACTGTCACTTCTACACCCACTTCATCCCCACAGCTAAAACTCTGGGGGCAAGGAAAACAGGGTCACCAGGCTGGCTGACTGAAAAGAAGATTGTGCTTGGCCTTGTGCCAGCTCAGGTGGGCTGGTGGCTGCAGCTCCTTCAGGCACATAAAACTGGCAGCACCCATCGGGTGCTCCAGTGTACCCAGCCTGCCCTTGCCTGAGAGGCTGCAGAGGAAGCAAGGGAGAGGATTTTATGTCAAGAACATCTGTTGTAGCCACCATCTTTCCATCTGACTTCTACCAGCATTTGGTTCAAGTTCCCTGTTTTAAAGAAGAGGGATATTGCTACTTCCCCACCTCAGAAAGCTGTCACAGAGCTTAGTTAATGGTGGGGGTTTGGTCTCTGAGAATGTGGATTACAGGAAGTACCCAAAATCACTTGTCCAGTTTTACTCTTTGTTCTCAGAGAAGAAAAATCCCTCCTGCAAGGAGAGCAATCAGATCCACTGGCTTGCAAAAACCAACATGCACGGACTTTGCTTCTGTCATCCTAAGGCATTATAAACTGGGAATTAAAACCACATCTGATCTTTGGTTTCTTGGCTCCTTATTTCACAGTTTCAGAACTGCTTGTTCCCATGATGTTTCTAGGGCTGTGGTAAAACCAGGTCCAGGCTTTTGGAAGAAACCTGAGTGCATCCAACACCACACAAATGCACCACTGTGTAGTTTCTTGCCTCCTTGCCTCACTGCAATACAAAGCATGGGGGCTGAATGAGAGAAAAAAATGTACTTGTGCATGTAATCCAAGAGAATCACGTTTTCCTAGAGTTCAGCCAGAGCACCTCCTCCTACAGAAGCCATTTTTCCTTCCTCTCAGTGGTTAAAGTGCATTGACCCCAATTCAGAGCTTTGGAGAGGATTCAAATCCAGCTCCCTCACTTTGCTGCTAAAATTGCAGGGTGCACATGGCCACTCCTCTGTGTGTCAAAGCTGAGCACTCTGCTCTATTAGTACTGCAAGGTGTTAATTAGGGCAGGACAGGGGATAGGCACTGCCTGGACATGGTGTGCCCACCTTTTCTGAGAGGTTAAGGAACTGCATAATTATCTGGAGCAGCTGGGAGGTCACTGCTTGGTGCACCTAACGCAAGGTGGGTGCCTGGCTCACACTCTCAGGGTGAGAAGGGAATGATCTCTCTCCACCTCCCTAAAGACAACCTTTTCTCCCCATTTAGGACACCACATCCTCTTTACATCTCATCCAACCAGGCCAAAGAGCCCAGGAACATCACCCTGACACCCACACCATTTCCTCGCACACACACGTTTTAGAGACGCAAAATTTCCCAGCTCCTAACCAATCAGTCCTCTCTTAATGAGCACTTAGCTTCCAAATTACCTTTCCTGAAGGCCATTCTGCAGAGAAGGGTTTCCTGTTGTCATCCAGTCTGCCTCTGCTGCCTTCCAGGAGCTCATAAAACAATTATTGTCCCACTGCATTGTCCCCTCAGCTATGGATGCAAGCGGCCGATGAGATTGATTACTTCCACAATACCCAATTAACCCACTCACTCTGCAAACGATTGACTTAATCAAAGGCAATTAGTGCTTGAATGGCTAGAGCAGACAGAAAGCCAGGATTTAGTGGATGATTCAGATGACATTGTACAGACATCTCCTTGGCCTTCTGAGGGAAAACATCTTCACTGGTGCTCAGCTCAGAGCTGGAAGTAGATGAAACCTCAGGTCGGTGCTGTGGGGTGGCACAGAAAACGCGAGGGAGTAGGAACACACACTTCCCTTTACTGACAGAAGGGGAACTTGCAATGACTGATGTTCCCTTTTTCCTGCTTTTTCTGTTCATGCAGGGCCCAAAGCACCAAGCAGTTGACCAGACCTCAATGTCCAAGAGGGTCCTGGAAAGGTAACTTGCCTCTGATAGATCCAGCTCTCTGAGCAAAGTCAACGCTGTTCTACAAAACCACCTTCAATATTGATTTCTTCCACAGCAACTTCTCCCACAATTAAAAAAAAAAAAAATAGAAAACCACTCCAAA